AACTACACCCCTAATAATTTTTCTTATAATCATGTGCCATGATATACTTTTATCTACTTACATATACATTTTTTTTTTTTTGTCAACACATTGGCTATTTCCCACCAGGCAGGGTGGCCCAAAAAAGAAAAACTTTCATCATTCACTCCCTTACTGTCTTATTAGAGGCGTGCTTACACTACAGATATAAAACTGCAACATTAACACCCTTCTTCAGAGTGCAGGCACTGTACTTCCCATCTCCAGAGCTCAAGTCCGGCCTGCTGGTTTCCCTAAATCCCTTCATAAATGTTACCTTGCTCAAACTCCAAGAGCACGTCAAGTCATAAAAACCATTTGTCTCCATTTGCTCCTAACATGCTCATGCATGCTTGCTGGAAGTTTAAGCCCCTTGCACACAAAACCACCTTTACCCCCTCCCTCCAACCTTTCCTAGGCCGACCCCTACCCCGCCTTCCTTCCACATTTAGTGGAGGGAAGAACAGGGTCCAAACCACCTCAATAAGCCCTCCTCTGCCCTCTGGATGATAGTTTTGGTAACCTCACACCACTTCCTAATCTTCAAACTACGGATTCTCTGTAATACAGTGGACCCTCGGATAACGGCATTAATCAGTTTCAGAGAGCTTGCCTTTAACCGATTTTGCCTTTAGCCAAATTAATTTTCCCATAAGAAATAATGAAGATCCAATTAATCCGTTTCAGACAGCCAAAAGTATTAACGTAAAATATGTTTTTAACCCACTGGGGTTTCAGACGTACTAGTACGGCTTACGACCCAGGGTTTTTGATGTACTAGTACGCCTAAATTCTAGCGCCCTCAAATCTAGTGAGAGAAAGCTGGTAGGCCTACATATGAAAGAATGGGTCTATATGGTCAGTGTGCGCAGTATAAAAAAAAATCCTGCAGCACACAGTGCGTAATGAGAAAAAAAAAAACTGACCGTGTTTTTGGATTAAAACAGCAACTTTGCACTGTATTTTCGTATGGTATTTATTGTTGTATTCTAGTTTTCTTGGTCTCATTTTATAGAATGGAAGACATATTACAGAAATTGAGATGATTGTGACTGGTTTTACAATGAAAAGTACCTTGAAATTGAGGTCAAAGTAGCAGAAATGTTCGATTTTTACCAAAGTTCAAAAGTAAACAAATCATGCCAAGCGTCCAATACACATCAACTGGTGAGTCTAATATTCTTTCACAAGTGCACTGATATTATTTATGCCATTTCTACATTAATGCAGTAGTCTGCATAACAGTAAATCTTATTTTTTTTTTGTAAGAATAAAAATTCAAAGAAATATAAGAGGGGCCTGGGGATGTGACTAACAAACAGAGAACTTGTTATTTTAGTGCCAGGAATGTCTTTCTTGTTTATTCTGGACCCTATTCGGAAATTGGCATCTTTTGAAATTTGTGTGAAATTGGCAAAATTGCTAAATTCTGACCACTTTATTGGATAGTTGAAATCGGTAAATGGGTGGTTTCTTGTACTCATTCGATAGAAAAAATAAAGTTCTAGCGAAATAGTTATGATTTCTGTTGACTAATACACTGGAATTGGCCGAAAATAGGGCTCGAAGTGGGCAAAATCGCCGATGTGTAAACATCGTTGAGACCGCTAACTTCGCGAGAGCGTAATTCCATAAGTTATAAAATGACAAGAACTACTACAAAATGTAATTATCAGAACATAAAAATTTCATAAAATAATATGAAAAATAAAAAAAAGGTATATCAGCAACACTTCTGCAAGCGGCAGGACTCGATGTTGCTGTTACATGAGCATCCAGAGCCAACTTCTCGGCTTCATATCTCGGTAAGTACTGACCCTAATTTTTTTTTTATTCTAAAACATGTCAAAAAATGTATTTTTTTCTATAAAAAAAAAAAATTCTTTTTTCAAAATATTCGGGGCGCTGCGCGAGTGAATGTATATATACGTTTGGACCGTTTAAGTGTTAACAAATCCATTGAATCTTCCACCTTCTCATCCATACTCAAGACAGCAAGAGTCACCCTGATCCTCAAAGGAGGTGATCCAACTGAATTGAACTATTATAGGCCTATATCAAACCTGCCCCTGCTATCTAAAATCTTTGAAAAATTAATACACAAACAAGTCTACTCTTACTTCGTATCCCACAACATACTCAACCCTTGTCAGTTTGGGTTCAGATCGAAAAAAAGTATTTATGATGCTATTATAAATATGCTTGAACTAATATACATTGCACTCGAGAAAAATTAATTTCCCCAGGGACTGTTTATAGACTTACGAAAAGCTTTTGATACAGTTGACCAAGACCTTTTGCACCAAAAACTCGAACATTATAGGGTCAGAGGACACTCTCTCGATTACCTAAAATCTTATCTTCACAAGAGAACCCAGTATGTATACACAAATGGAGCTTGTTCCACTACACAACCTGCTCTTGTTGGAGTCCCACACGGGAGCATTCTTGGCCCACTTCTCTTTCTCATTTACATCAATGACCTACCAAACAGATCTAATCTCCTTAAACCCATTTTATTTGCAGATGACACAACTTATGGTTTTTCTCACCCAAACTCAACCATACTAACATACACAGTAAATGCTGAACTGTTAAAAATATCAACTTGGATGATTACCAACAAACTTACTCTCAATATAGACACAACCTACTTCATGCTTTTCGGAAATAGAGCTTCAAATGTACAGCTAAACATATTGATAAATGGTTCACCTATCTCGAGACAGGCAGAGGGCAAATTTCTAGGTCTCCACTTTGACTGCAGTCTCAAATTTCAGACACACATACAGCAAATTTCCAAGAAAGTCTCCAAAACAGTAGGCATTCTTTCAAAGATATGGTACTATGTACCACAATCAGCTCTTCTAGCTTTGTACCATTCTCTCATTTACCCTTACCTCACCTATGGTATTTGTGCATGGGGCTCAGCCACAGCAAATCACCTTAAGCCTTTAATAACCCAGCAAAAAGCTGCAGTGCGATTGATTACTAACTCCTGCATTAGACAACACACACCACCTCATTTCAAGAGTCTTAACTTGCTAAATATACAAAACATCCACACTTATTACTGTGCCTACTACATACACAGAACAGTATACTCTAATGTAAACCCTCCTCTCAAACTCCTCCTTGATAACTATAACAGAACACGCAACCATAATACGAGACACAGATCACTCTTCGATATCCCCCGTATTCATGTCTCCCTATGCAAAAATGCTATGCATGTAAAAGACCCGAAGATCTGGAATTCACTGCCAGAACAAACTAAAGGACCACTGTCTGCAAATCAGTTTAAGGCCCAAATAAGAAATCACCTCATTACCCAAAATTAACCAGACAAACCATACCTAACCACAAACAGGTTTCTCAAAAGCTACTCATATTGTGCAGATTAATGCTCAATCACTTACTATTTTGAAATTAGGATGTCTGTTCTTTTCATTGTATTATATAGTACATCATAATGTAAATAACAAAAAAAGGCACAATACCGTGACTGGAACAATACACAAATAACCCGCACATAGAAGAGAGGAGCTAACGGCGACGTTTCGGTTCGACTTCGGTCCAAGTCGGACCGAAGTATCGTCGTAAGCACCTCTCTTCTATGTGCGGGTTATTTGTGTATCATAATGTAAATTGTTTCATTGTAATACCAAATTTTATTGTTTTAAATAGTACCAAACTGTAATACATCATTGTAAATTGTTTTAAATTGTTACATTGTAATACTGTAATTTTTATTAACTAATTCAATGGTGTAAAAAGCCTCTACTAGACTTATCAAAACCATGTAGCATCACCTAATATAATATTAAATTTTCCTGTACTCACTCTAACTCATCTAATGACCATATGAACTATGTATTATTGCCTTACTATTCTTAAGTTAATCTTTAAGTTTGGCCAAAATGTTCAGCATACAGAGGGGCTTTTGGCATGTACACCCAACTATTATATTCCTCTGTACAACCATGTAATTTGTCAAAATAAAAAAATCTGAATCTAAATCTATCTATCTGTCTGTCTGTCTGTCTAGCTCTGCTTATCTGTCTTCCTGTGTGTGTCTGTCTTTTTGTCTGCTTGTCTCTGTCTCAGGGACCAGCTCATAAAACTGTTGGTTTACGAGCCGCTCCATGTTTCCTGAGCAGGTGAAAATGCATATAGTGTCATGGTTATTTATGTCTTATATCTACAAGCACAGTATTGCACTTTGCCTGGAATTTTTGGGTTATCATAGGTAATTTACACTATGTATAATAACTGTACTTATGTGTACATGTGAGAGACAGAGATAGACAGAGATATAAACAGAAATATAGACAGACAAAGAGATATAGACAGAGATATAGACAGAGAGACAGCCAGAGACAGCCAAAGCCAGCCGGCCAGCCTGCTGAATACATAAGAACATAAGAAAGAGGGAACACTGCAGCAGGCCTCCTGGCCCATGCAAGGCAGATCCATGTCACCCCCTGGCTTAGACCAATAACCCACCTAGTCAGGTCACATCCACTGAAGGAAGGAGCATGGCATCAGACCTAGTAGCACAAGCCAGTTGGGTCCGACTCACACCAACTCATGTATTTATCTAACCTACTTTTACTTTTCCTCTTAGAAGGGGAGTGTTAATGCAACATGACATCAGTGAATCCCTGGTGTTTGCCACGCAATTTGCTCTAACTAGCGCTCAACTGAACTGATGCTCCGACAAGGTACTAAGTGGTCCCAGATTTTTTTAATACTGCGCACACCAAGTGTTAAGACCCATTCTCTCGTGTCTAGGTGACTCAGGCCTATCACCCCAATTTTGAAGGAATGAAAAATAAAACATTGCTCTATGTTTGGAGCACTATGTGAGCAAACATATACCTACATTTGGACAGTTTAAGGGTTAATAACCTTGGTATATAGCATCAATATTAATAACCAGTCAGGTTTCACACCAGAATATTTCAAAAGTGCAGACTTACATGAAATCGTACAGATATGACAGCACCACAAATCTCATCTCCAACCAAGAACTGCTCCCCTAGCATCGCCAGGATCATATTCTCCCAACATCGTGATGCCAGACCTTTCCGTAAACGTACAATCCATTTTCCTCCATTTTTATTTGCTACATCCTTTGAAAAATAAAAGTCATGATTAACAATTTCATTATATAGTAAATTCTCAATATAATAATATAACAGACTAATAGGTGGGAATTATATGAGTGTCTGTAATATCACAATAATGTATAAAAAGATCACAAACACTTAACCTAATACAGAACTGCACTGTACACAATTTACAGATATACAGTAGGACCCCCATATCTACGAGGGATACATTCCAAGGACCTGCCATGGATACCGAAACCGTGGATAGTAGCAAACCCTATATGCAAGTCCTATACATACCTATAACAAAGTTTAAATTGATAAATTATGCACAATAAGTGGAGAATTATCACTTTTCACTGATGGAAAGCACTTCACTGCTTCTTTTAGGCTGTGAAGAACTGCCAGCTTGTCTACTTTTGCACTCTTGGGCCATTATTATTATTATTATTAAAAATTAAGAGGTATTTCTGGACCACAATAAACCGTGGATAACTGAAACCGTGTACAGTATATCGAACCAGTGGATACGGGGGTTCCACTGTACTAAAATAAACACTGAAAATAAATGAGTTAAAAGTACAATTTACCCAGTAGATTTTATCCATTATTTCAAAGGTTTGTTATATCAAGATGCAATACATAAAGAGTTTACTGTATGTTAACATTCATTATTATAAAATTTTAAATAAATTTCAAATATCAGGAATAAAGATGAAATATTTACCTCCCACATGGGTTTTATCCCATCTTTAAACATGTGGATGTCTGAGTGTGATGCAAGATCTGCTGGCCGTGCTAAGTGACTATAGTAACCCCAAAACTGTTCCACAGAAGCAAATCTGAAAATGTCACAAAACTCACAGTATTATGGCAATACATGACTCCAACTGTAGAGAGGATGACATCGTCAAGCCGCAGTAACCCTGTCAGCAGGTGACTGTCTGACTAGTGTCACAGTTTAGAAGCAGCCTGCACAAAGTATAATGTCACTGACTGCTAGGCCACTCACTCCAGTTACTGTGTATGCTGCTACGACTCCAAGATGTTTCACCTGAGTCGTCCCTGCTATGACTTACTCCACTCTTGCTGGCAGTGACAGCCCTAGCGACAGTACCAGTCGAGAAATGTCATCCTGAGTCTCTTGCCAGTAGTCCTGCCCAGTTGCCAAGTACTGACATTGCCTCACTTGAGGGCACCAGCAAGTTATGCCCCAGGTTGAGCGAACCCTGCAACCACTACACGCAGGAAGACGTGTAGTGGCGCCTACCGAGGCTCACTGCCTTGGACCACGATATTTAACACACCCATTTTTTTTCTTCCCTCCCTGTAGGAAGTTTTTTTTTTTTGTCCATGTCAACATGTATATACATGCATGTGCTTTTATTCTGTGTTCTGTGCCCTGTTCCTGTGAGAGAGTGACCGAGTTTATTTTCAGTCAATCATGGTTGAGGACGACCATGGGTAGGTGGCCTAGTAATGTATGCCCGTTGGGTTCATATTTCACGGTACTGTGGTGCTGACACCTAGTGGCACAGGCCTACAATGCTCAGCCCACACCAGTTCAGTAGGTATCCTCTCTAAGATACATTACTATGTATCTCAAACAGCACTACTTACATTAAACTACTCTCTAATCTATCCTCGGTATTTGTACTGGGGATCCACTACAGAAAATCACCTTCAGCCAGTAATAACAACAAAAAGGGGCAGAACGAATAATTACTCGGTCTACTGCCGTACAACACACTCCCCTACTCTTCAAAAGTTTAAACTTACTTAATATTCATAAAATTCACTCGTACTACTGTGCATACCTGAAGTATACCTGGAGAGGGTTTCGGGGATCAATGCCCCCGTGGCCCGGTCCATGACCAGGCCTCGTGGATCAGAGCCTGATCAACGAGGCTGTTACTGCTGGCCGCATGTACACCGATGTACGAACCACAGCCCTGCTGATCAGGTGCTGACTTTAGCTGCCTGTCCAGTACCATCTTGAAGACAGCCAGGGGTCTACTGGTAATCTCCCTTATGTATGCTGGGAGGTAGTTGAACAGTCTTTGACCTCTGACACTTATTGTGTTGTCTCTCAGTGTACTCATGGTGCCCCTGCTTTTCACTGGGGGGTATGCTGCACCACCTGCCGAGTCTTTTGCTTTTGTAGGAAGTGATTTTCATGTGCAAATTTGGTACTAATCCCTCTAGGATTTCTCCAGTGTATTCAAGTACCATCCGACTTACGACTTGCTTGACATACGACCACTCATACTTTCGACCGTACGTCTGGCAGCATATACAGCAGTAAAATATTTAGTAAAAAGTAACATACGATACTATGTATGTACACCTACCATCCGACTTACGACCTGCTCGACTTACGACCACTCGACTTACGACCGTATTTTTTATGCCAAATTTCTGGGAAATAAACAACTATTTGTGTTGCACAGTGTTTATCCTAAACCTTACAGTATAAAATACAGTACTAACAACATAAAAAGTAAAGTAAAACATGAAATACCAAAATAAAACAATAAAATAAAGTCATTACAAAAATGTTTTGTTGATATTCAGTAGTAAAGTTCGACTTACGACCATTTCGACCTATGACCGGTTTCTCGGAACCGAACTCGGTCGTAAGTCGGATGGTAGGTGTACTTTATATAGCAAAGGTTTGACATTATGCCCTACCCAGAATGTCGACAATTTTCTAAGGATTGACTTGCGTCCATTTTGACTTACGACTGGTTGGTCAGAACCATGCTTGGCCATAAGCCACATGGTACTTGTATTATCATGTATCCTTCTCTCCTGAATTCCAAGGAATACAAATCAAGGGATTTCAACCGTTCCCAGTAATTTAAATGCTCTATCATATATGTGTGTGCCATGAAGGCTCTCTGTACATTCTCCAGGTAAGCAATTTTGCCTGCTTTGAAATAGGCTGTTAGTGTACAGCAGTATTCCAGTCTAGAGAGAAAGAGCATTGAAGAGAATCATCATGGACTGGGAATCCCTAGTTTTGAAGGTACTCATTATCCATCCTATCATTTTTCTAGCAGATATGGTAGATATGTTGTTTAGGTCTTTAAAGGTTCAATTGTCCGACATTATCACTCCCAGGTCTTTCACATTAGCTTTTCGCTCTATTGTGTGGTTGGAATTTGTTTTATATTCTGATACAGTTTTACTTTCCTCAGGTTTCCAGTATCAGAGTACAGCCTCTCCTCACTTAGTGATGTTCTCATTTACCGATGACTTGGACTTACGACAGGCTCTTTGACCAATAAACATACCTAAATAATCTATATCAGAGCAGATTTCCTCTATTCTGTTTATTACAATATACAGCACACTACTGTATAAACACTGTAAAATATACCAGAAATGTTATAAATGGTGCAAAGGTGACATTAAAACAATATAAAAAATGGTAGACGCAAACCCACTACCATTATAGTATGCTTCTCACTAAGCAACGAATTTGTTTACCCAATGTGATTTTAGGAAAAGAACTCAGTCATTTAGTGAGGAGAGGCTGTAATTGAAATTTCTCTTCACTGAACTTCATATTGGTTTCTGCAGCCCATGTAATGATTTGGTTGATGTCCACTTGGAATCTTGAAGTGTCTTCGATGGATGACACTGTCATGCAAATTCGGGTATCATCTGCAAAGGAAGACACGGTGCTGTGGCTTACATCTCTGTCTATGTCAGATACAAGGATGAGGAACAAGATGGGAGTGAGTACTGTGCCATGTGGAACATAGCTTTGCACTGTAGCCACCTCAGACTTTACTCTATTTACTATTACTTGTGTTCTATTTGTTCGGAAGTTATAGGTCCATCTACCAACTTTTCTTGTTATTCCTTTATCACGCATTTTGTGTGCTCTTACACCATGGTTGCACTTGTCAAAGACTTTTGCAAAATTTTCTAGTGCATCCAGGACCTTGCCATAGTGGTCCAGTAGTTTGGAGAGGCAGGAGTGACCTGTCTAAATCCATGTTGCACTGGGTTGTGTAATTGATTGGGCTCTAGGTGGTTGGTGATCTTGCTTCTTAGAGCCCTTTCAAAGATTTTTATGGTATGGGATGTTAGTGCTACTGGTCTATAGTTCTTTGCTATTTGTTTACTGCCACCTTTGTGGAGTGGGGCTATGTCTGTTGTTTTTAGTGACTCTGAGATGACCCCTGTGTCCATGCTCCCTCTCCATAGAATGATGAAGGTACGTCACAGGGACTTATTGCAGTACTTGATGAACAAGGAGTTCCATGAATGCAGGCCTGGGGCAGAGCGCTTGGGCATGTCACTTATTACCTTTTTGAAGTTTTGTGGTGTTAGGATAATAGAGATTTTTGTGTTGAGTCTCAGTCATAAAAAATTCATTTAGATTGTCTGCCCTTAGTCTGGTTAACAACTCGCTAAATATTGAGTCATATTAGGACTTTAGTATCTCGCACATTTCTTTGCTGTCATCTGTGTGACTCCCATCTTGTCTAAGCAAGGGTCCAATACTGGATGTTGTTTTCACCTTTGATTTGGCATACTACATATACAGGACAGTCAGTTCTAATATCAATCCTGCCTTAAAGCTCTCTCTTTATTGTTCCAACAGATCTCATCAGCATAACACTAGACAGAAAAGTCTCTATGATATTCCTGGCATTTGGCTCATACTTTGTGAAAAGCTCAATGTGCATGAAACTGTAAAATCTGAAACTCTCTACCTGACAACTCCCTTACCTTACCTTTGATATACCTTTGAAGAATTTCGAGAGTATATCTGCTCTCTGAGCCCGGCCATGAGCCAGGCTCGTCTGGTGTTCGCCTGGTCAACCAGGCTGTTGCTGCTGGAGGCCCGCTGCCCCACATATCCATCACAGCCTGGTTGATCTGGCACCTGGTGAACATACTTGTCTAGTTTCCTCTTGAAGGCTTCAACACTTGTTCCAGCAGTGTTTCTGATATCTTCTGGTAAGATGTTGAAAAGTCTGGGACCCCTGATGTTGATACAGTGTTCCCTTATCGTCCCCACCGCACCCCTGCTCCTCACTGGGTTTATTTTACACTTCCTCCCATATCTCTCACTCCAGTATGTTGTTATGGCAGTGTGCAGATTTGGGACCAAGCCCTCGAGTACCTTCCAGGTATATATTATCATGTACCTTTTTCTCCTCTACTCCAATGAGTACATATTCAAGACTTGCAGGCATTCCCAGTAGTTTAGGTGCTTTACTGGCTCAATGTGAGCCGTAAACCATCTCTGTATTTGTTCCAGCTCCGATATTTCTACTGCCCTGAACGGGGCCATCAGCACTGAGCAATATTCTAAGTGAGGGAGCACTAGCGATTTGAAGAGTGTCACCATTGGCATTGTTTCCCTTGTTTTGAAAGTTCTCAATACCCATCCCGTCATCTTCCTGGCTGTCATGATCTTTGTCTTGTTATGGTCTTTAAAAGAAAGGTCCGCTGACATAATTATTCCTAGGTCTTATGTGTTCCTTACATTCTATTTGGTGACCCTCTTGAGCTTTGTACATAGTGCTCCTTTTGAGTTCTTCAATCTTTCCATACCTAAGTAGCTGGAACTTATCACCATTGAACGTCATGTTGTTTTCCACTGCCCACTGGAAAATCCTGTTTATGTCTTCCTGTACTTTTTCAGTGTCCTCTACCATACTGACTTTCATGCTTATTTTAGTGTCATCTGCAAATGATGATACAAAGGTGTGCTGGGCATTTTTGTCTATGTCTGCTACTGCTACTGTTAAAAAACACCTCCTTTCCTTAACCCCTTAACTGTCCAAACAATGATCTACTTAGATTGTTTTGTTTTTCCTACTTCCAAATTTGGCACGATTGGCCTGACAGGCCTTGGCAGTATAGAATGGGTATCAAGTGAAAGTATCAAAGCATTATGTTAGTCTATCTGTGAAGAAGTGCTATGCATTCAAGAAGTACTATGTATTCCATCTCTTCCATTATTGGTCAGGCAAAATAAAGGAATATTAATGTGTGTGTCTACTTTTAGTTCATTCATGTACATTTGTAAGAGTTTGTAAAACTTTTACCTCACAATATTTTTTTTATTATAAAAATAACCTCACAATACAAATACTCTTACATTGCGTACAAGTTGTACAAGTTAGTACAGAATAAACAAATAGCAACACTCCCATTCTCATGCAACACACCATTTTTAGAGTGAATGAAGATGATATTATCATCATAATAAAAAAGCGCTAAACCCACAAGGGTCGTGAATTGCTATATATACAGTGAAGGCATACGAAAGGATTATTTTTCTACAGTTATCCTCCAATGTTTGACTAGAGAAAACGTAATTCTTCCGACACTACCTACACAGCTGCTTTGTAAACAAATCTCATATTTAAGTAAATTTTTATTCTGTGAGTGTATGTATCATGTTTATATGCTATGTAACATGCTTTTTATATAATTTTGAGGAAAATATCAAAGCTGGATTAATGAAAATGTCTATATTAATGTAAAATAAAACATTTAAGGGGCCCAAGAGTGATTATTATTACGTTGCATTGGTGTCATGAGTAGAGAGACTCTCAGCGATTTTAATGTGTACCTGCACACCAGCACAGTGTCTAAGTATATTTAGGTACAGGTACACATAAGTATAATTATCAGAGTACATATAAAATACGCAATAACTTTAAAACACTTGAAATTTTGGAAAGTTTCCAGACATAATAGATGTGGTCACGGAGAATGTAAACAAACCAGGTGGGGGGGGGCGCCATATTTGAAAGACCGCTTGCCATATAGCAAATTTTGGTCATAATTTGATATCACTGTAGTATTAGAAGAACGCCATAAGGCAAAACGCCGTAAAGTAGGGCCCTACTGTACTGGTAAGTTTTGAGCCTATTCTTTTTTTTTTCTTGTTGTTTTTTGGTCTTATACTACTAAGAAAGATGGGCACTTTCAAATTCTGCCATCCCACCAGCACTTTTTTTCCAGGTCTGCCACAATTTAACCCTTTGACTGTTTTGGTCGTATATATATGTCTTATGAGCCAGTGTTTCAGATGTATTAATACGCATACATTCCATTAGCTTCAAATCAAGCAGGAGAAAGCTGGTAGGCCCACATGTGAGAGAATGGGTCTGTGTGGTCAGTTTGCACCACATAAAAAAAATCCTGCAGCACGCAGTGCATAATGAGAAAAAAAACTGATCGTTTTTTTGGATTAAAACGCCGACTTTGAGGTGTATTTTCGTATAGTATTTATCCTTGTATTCTCGTTTTCATGGTCTCATGTGATAAAATGGGAAACACATTACAGAAATAGAGATGATTTTGATTAGTTTCACGATGAAAACAACCTTGAAATTGAGCTCAAATAGCGGAAGTGTTCGATTTTTACCAATGTTCAGGAGTAAGCAAATCACACCACACGACTAATACACGTCAACTGGGGAGTCTAATATTCTTTAACTAGTGCACTGATATTATTTATATAATTTTTACAATAATGTAGTAGTCTGCATAACAGTAAATTTTGTATTTTTTGTATGAATAAAAAATCAAAATAGAGAGCAATAGTAATATAAGAGGGGCCTAGAGACGTGACTAATGAACAGAGGATATGTTATTTTAGTGCCAAGAATGTCTACATTGTTTATTCTGGACCCTATTTTGAAATTGGCATCTTTTTTAATTTACGTGAAATTGGCCAAATTGCCAATTTTTTACCACTTTATTGGGTAGTTCAAATCGGTAAATGGGCGGTTTCTTGTACTCAGTTGAAAGAAAAAATGGAGTTCTAAAGAAATAGCTATGAGTTTGGTCAACTGGAACAACGGAACTGGCCAAAAACAGGGCTCAAAGTCAGCAAAATCGCCGATGTGTATATGTCGCCGAGACCACTAACTTCGCGGGAGAGTAATTCCACGAGTTTTCGACCAAATTTTGTACTTTTGGTGTCATTACCATTGGGAAAAGATTCTCTATCATTTCATAAGAAATTTTATTTTTTCCAAAAATTTTGTGACATAGAATGACAGTTTCAGAAAGGGGCTTGCGACAGTCAAAGGGTTAAGGTTTATTATAACACTCACCTTCCTATTAATTGTAGGTTCTGGTCATAATTCTGCGATGTTGCCTGTTTTCCTGGTGCTCGACGACTGAACCAAATACAATATGTGTACTGGAGTCTGTGTTCACCAGGTTTAACCTCAACTGGTGGCTGGCAGAAAAAGAAAAAACTTACTACTTATGCATATTATAAATAGATATACAGGATGCCCAGAGAAGTAATGGCAACTAATAGTTCAGATCCTTCATAAAAAATAATAAAGCAAAACCTCTCATAAAACAAGGGTTATCTTTTTGAAAATTGCCGTTTTAGGATAAAACAGCTTTAAATGAAATGAAGTTAGGGGAAAATAAAGTTAAATTTGTGACAACTTCAAATTTACCAAACAATTCTTTTAACACTTTCAGTATCCAGAGATCAAATATCTCTGGACCCTGAAAGAATTAAAGATAATATTTTTCTATAGGTAATAAAACAAAAACAAAAAAATTCCAATCAGTATTTTCCTAGATACTGAGGCATGAAGTTGACCCTCAATGACCGGGTGGCGGCAACATCGGCGACTCCTGTAAAGTCACATTTTTTTATTTTATTTTACTTTTATGTTAGTAATGTTCTATCATATATTTACATATGTACAGTCACTGGACATGTTCCTAGAACTGCTGCAGTCTGTGAAAGTCTTTGAAACAAGGTATCATGCACAGTGGTGTCTTACTCATCTATCGACCAGCATGATTTCATATTATGCTTATAGACATGATGCATAAGCATTATTGTTGCAAAAAACAAATACATTTCAGCCACAGTTGTCTCCTTCCGCTGGTGGATGACGATGCACTTTGTCCTGGACCTGCTGAGTCAGCGGATTGGGTCCCAGCCTGGGCTGGTGATGCATGCTGCACGCTCGCATGCTGCATGCTTGTAGCACCACCACCACCTATTGATGCATGTGGTCTATCCATCCCAATTGTAGCCACATCATAATTACTTTCAGGTGTAGGGCCACGGGATGTACTCTGTCTCCTTGGAATTGCATATGGTACAGGGACCCCAATGAAAATGTCACTCTGAATTTTTTGGGTTATCCTAGGATCTTTATACACATGCTGCCTACCAGCCTTCTCTCATTAAATTTGAAGCCGCTAGAATTTTGGTGTAGATCTATAGCTTGGACCATGGCTTCAAAGCCTTAACCCCTTTCAGGGACAGGCCCTGAAAGGGGTTAAGTATTTTGCTACATTTTATCTTACCTAGCATTATAGCTGTTATTGCTTGATGACATGGAAGTATGTGGAGGTTTAACCCTTTGAAGGTCGAAACAGGCTCTCTCCGAGACTCGTTCTCAGGGTCGGCCAAATTTAAAAAAAAAAAATAATCTTTTTCTTATGAAAAGATAATCTTTTCCCGATCATAATGACACCAAAAGTATAAAATTTGATGGAAAACTTACGGAATTATGCTCTCGCAAGTTAGCGGTCTCGGCGATGTTTACGCATCGGCGATTTTGCCCACTTTGAGCCCCATTTTTGGCCAATTCCACTGGACTAGTCGACAAAAAACATGAATATTTCACTAGAACTCCATTTTTTCTATCGAATGAGTGCAAGAAACCACCCATTTATCAGTTTCAACTATCCAGTACAGTGGTCAGAATTTAGCAATTTTGCCAATTTCACACAAATTTCAAAAGATGCCAATTTCCGAATAGGGTCCAGAATAAACAAGAAAGACATTCCTGGCACTAAAATGACATTTCCTCTGTTCATTAGTCACGTCTCAAGGCCCCTCTTACATTCTTTTGCTTTCCACTTTGAATTTTTATTCTCACAAAAAATAGAAGATTTACTGTTATGCAGACTACTGCATTAGTGTAAAAAATGGTATAAATAATATTGGCGTACTCGCGAAAGAATATTAGACTCATCAGTTGACGTGTATTGGACGCTTGGCATGATTTGTTTACTTTTGAACTTTGGCAAAAATCGAACATTTCTGCTAATTTGAGCTCAATTTCAAGGTACTTTTCATTGTAAAACCAGTCAAAATCATCTCAATTTTTGTAATATGTCTTCCATTCTATAAAATGAGACCAAGAAAACTAGAATGCAACAATAAATACCATACAAAAATACAGTGCAAAGTCGCTGTTTTATTCCAAAAAAACGGTCAAAGTTTTTTTTTTCCCATTATGCACTGTGTGCTGCAGGATTTTTTTTATACTGTGCACACTGACCACATAGACCCATTATTTCATATGTAGGCCTACCAGCTTTCTCCCACTAGATTTGAGGGCGCTAGAATTTAGGCGTACTAGTACGTCAAAAACCCTGGGTTGTAAGCCGTACTAGTACGCGTGCAAACATAGATCTACGTTTGGACAGTTTAAGTGTTAAAAGAAGAAGGGAAGTAACCCAGGAAAAGGACTTGATACCTCAAGTCCTAATGGAAGGGGATTCCCCTTTTAAACAATAACAACTTCCACACTCCCCTCATCCCATCCCATCAATCATCACCAGATCTTCAATTAAGGTAAGTGTCATGTATTGTATTCTTAGTAAAGTATTAACTGTGCATGTCTTCTTAAGTTTGTGTGTATTAAAATTAATATTTCATGTGGTAAAATTTTTTTTTTTTCATACTTTGTGGTGTCTTGCATGGATTAATTTGATTTCCATTATTTCTTATGGGGAAAATTAATTCGCCATGTGATAATTTCAGCTTATGATGAGCTCTCAGGAACAGATTAATATCGTAAGGTGGGGGTCCACTGTAAATTAGATTAGTCCATTTCACACCCCCAAAATTACACTTACAAAATCACTTACAATAATTCACTTACATAATTGGTCGAGCTGGGAGCAGTTCGAAACTCGGGGTACCATTGTACAGTGAACCCTTAGTTAACGGCCGTTCCGCTTATCGGCCAACTTGCTTATCAGCCGGTTTTTCGGCTTCCGGTTATCGACCATTATTGCATTTATCAGCTGTACTGGACGCTTACTGGCTGGCGACGCTTGCGTGTTCCTGAGTCATTGTAGCTGTGTTGCTGGCTGAGTGAGGAAGCTTCTGCTCATTCAGTTAAACATTTTGCTATAAATCAGCGTTATTCTTTGTTATTTATTAAGTGCAACAGCGAAATACGTAAGCATGGCCCCAGATAAAGTCCCTAGTAAAGTTCCTGTGGTAAAGAAAATGAGAAACATGATAGAATTTAAGAGAGAAGTGACTGAAAAATTTGAGAGTGGTGTGCAAGTGTTGGAACTTGTCAGGATGTATGGGAAAAGCAAATCTACCATCACTTCCATCCAGGCAGAGAAAGAACAAATCAAGGAAGCTGATGTTGCGAAAGGAGTAAATGTGTATATATCATTTTTCTGTTATTAATATTGTTTATTATTACATATTATATGAACTGTGATAGATAAATAAGCCATAGAGTTGATACTAGGGAAATATTAAGTATTCTGTCATGCCTGGAAATCCACTGGAACGCATTAATTCCATTTCAATTAATTAAAATGAGGAAAACTGACTCGACAAACGATTCCTTCATGCTTAACGGTGTATACTATCTAGAGTTTTAACATGCTAGGAGAGTTTAGTAGCACTTTTTAATTGCAGTTACATAAATTCACACTGTGAGGCCGCAGTACAAGAGGTTTCACTATACATGTAAAATATTAGTTATACAGGTCAGCCATCACTAATCCGGCAATCAGTCATCCGATTCCATCAGTAATCTGGCACTAATTTTGGCTAGCGTAATTTCAAATTTCATCATTATACTGACACAAATCATTATACTGTCTCAAATTTCATGATAATACTGACTCAGAAATTGTGCAGATGGTTGTAAATCCACAGCAGCAAGCCAGTGGAGGAGAAAGCAGTGATGAAAATGAGGAAGATGTGGCAGAAAAACTCTCCATTGATAGGTTACCTAACCAGTCTGTAATCCAGCAAACTCACTAATCCAGATCACTAAAGGGCCCAATGATGCCAGATTAGTGATGGCAGACCTGTACTAGCTATATTTAGCAACACATGACAGATAAAATCAAATTGTTAATTTTATTAAATGCAGAAAAATTATTTAAAATATTCACACTGCAAGCTGCATATGAAATGCAACAGGCAATACATGAAAATTTAACTTTTTAAGGGTCCATCCCATAGTTCTATGGCTCTGAAGCCAGGGTCCATGCCGTAGTACTACGTCATAAGCTCAGCTCACTCAGATAAGCTTTGAGATGTAAATCTGGGCCCAGATATGAGAGAATGCATCTATGTGGTAAGTGTGCACCATATAAAATACATAATGAGAAAAAACTGCAACCATGTTTTTCGATAAAAACAGTGACTTTGCAGTGTATTTTCACACTGTATGGTTTTTACAGTTGTATTTGCTGTTTCTTTGTCCCATTTGATAGAATGGAAGATATATTACAGAAATAGAGATGATTTTGATTGGTTTTGTATTGAAAATAGCTTGAAATTGAGCTCAAAGAAGCAGAAATGTTTGATCTTTGCCAATGTTCAAGAGAAAACAAATCACATCATGTGTCCAATACACGTCAGCTGGTGGGTCTAATGTGCATTCATGAATGCACTGATATTATTTATACAATTGTTACAATATTGCGTAACAGTAAATCTTCTATTTTTTGGTGTGAATAAAAAAATATTATGTGAAAAAAGCATCAAAATGGAGTTCATCTGTAAAGCTTGGAAATATGATTAACCCTTTGACTATCGCAACCCCAAATCCTGAGGTGTCACCTGGAGTCGCAAAATTTCCGAAAAATATAATTTTTTCTTATGAAATGATAGAGAATCTTTTCCCAATTGTAATGACACCAAAAGAACGAAATTTGATGGAAAACTGACGGAATTATGCTCTTGTGAAGTTAGTGATCTCAGCGATATTTACGAATCGGAGATTTCGCCCACTTTGAGCCCTATTTTCGGCAAATTCCTTTGTTCCAGTCAAACTCATAGCTATTTCTTTAGAACTCCATTTTTTCTATCGACTGAGTACAAGAAACTGCCCATTTACCGATTTCAACTACTCAATAACGTGATCAGAGATTTGCAATTTGGCCAATTTCACAAAAATTAAAAAATATGACAATTTCAAAATAGGGTTC